CTGCTCACGGCGGAGGTAGACGGTCATGTGATCAATAAAATGAGGATATTGATCTCTGATCAGATGAAAGAATCACACGGAGAGAGAGATCCGTGATACAAGTTCCAGCATCGGACACGTCAACTACAGATCACGGTGCAGATATCACATACTACATATCACACATAGAAAGCCTTCCAATGATCGGGGATTGTATCCGAGTGATATACATCCGGCATCGTACTCGGGGCCCCTATGAACACATTGCACTGGGGGCCCCTATGAACACATTGCACTGGGGACCCCTATGAACACATAGCACTGGGGGCCCCTATGAACACATAGCACTGGGGGCCCCTATGAACACATTGCACGGGGGGCCCCTATGAACACATTGCACTGGGGGCCCCTATGAACACATTGCACTGGGGGCCCCTATGAACACATTGCACTGGGGGCCCCTATGAACACATTGCACTGGGGGCCCCTATGAACACATTGCACTGGGGGCCCCTATGAACACATAGCACTGGGGGCCCCTATGAACACATAGCACTGGGGGCCCCTATGAACACATTGCACTGGGGGCCCCTATGAACACATTGCACGGGGGGCCCCTATGCAGGCACTCACCATTATACTTGACGCTGTTGGTACAGATCAGATTGACGTCGGAGAGGAAACGTTCCCGACTCTGATATTTGTGCTTCGAAATATTCTACAACGAGACCAGAAGACACGTCACACGCATGACACAGAGATCACATGACGGATCACGCACACGCATGACACAGAGATCACATGACGGATCACGCACACGCATGACACAGAGATCGGCACTGACCTGGCGGATGGTCTCCAGGTCCATGGGGCAGACGATCACTTTGTAATAGTCGGGGACAAATTTCTTGTTGACGGGAAGGTGGAAGGGCCAGGACTGCGGAGGACACAAGAGGAGGAGGAAGGTCATACATGTGGAGGAGGAAGGTCATACATGTAGAGGATTCACCACGGGTGAATATACACACACTGCTGTCATTTCACTGTCCTACAAGCAGCATGCAGCCAGTGAAGTCGCAGCTCCTGATCCCCAGACTCGCTTCTTCAGGGGAGGAAACTCTGAGGATAGTGAAGCCGGCGGATGGCCATGTGAAGTGATTTCTGTCACTTCCTGTGTCTCCTATACCCGGGGGGATGGGGGGGGGAGAGGGGA